TGACGTTGATGATAATTTTTGGAAGATGTTGATGATGATGTTGATGATGATGCCGCAGTGTAGTTGGTAGGGGAACGGCTAGTAGTAGTAGTAGTAGTAGTAGTAGTAGTAGTAGTCGTCGTCGTCGAAGTAGTAGCAATACTCGTAGTAGGAGTAGTCGTCGTCGTCATGCTAGTGACGGCTAGTGCTCCTGTTGGGAGTAGCAGAAGTTTCCTACACGATCCATTATTCATTTTTCAAGTTCAAGGCTTGATTGCCGCTTCTTGCAAAAAATCCTTTCAGACAGAGATGAACATGTCGGTCATGCAGAAACGGCTTTGGCAAGGCCTGTTTAAGAAACACGCTACGAGTGCCGGTACTACTACTAGTACTAGGCTCCATCAACCTCGTTTGCCGCACTCTCTCGGTCGCTCAGGTCTGCATCCATGCCCAAACCATGCTACCAGCCCATCCATTGGCCAGTGCATTCACGCTCAAACCATGGCAACGCCCATGCTACCAGCCCATCCCTGGGCCAATGCATCCATACCCAAACCGTGCTAACGTCCATGCTACCAGCCCATCCATTGACCAGTGCATCCATGCCCAAACCAGCGAGCCCATCCATTGGCCAGTGCATCCATGCCCAAACCATGATGACGTCCATGCTACCAGCCCATCCATGATAATGTCCATGTTACCAGCCCATCCATTGCCCAGTGCATCCACGCCCAAACCCCACTAGCATGCTAACTAGTACTGCTACAAGCAGCAATACCAGCCCTACTACCAGTACCAGTTTTAGTACCAGTAGCTAGTAGAACTATGGCCGCGATAGCCGATAGTCAAGTTAATGGCAGCAGTAGCCACTAGGAATGCTGGGACTTTGCAGTGGTCGTCGTAAGCGTTGGTGCTGATTGCGCCGTCGTGGCATGGTGGTATTCGTTGTCGGTTCGGCCAACAGCACCATCGAAGAGCGGGAATTGAGGAATTGTGCTGCAGGTCACACATGGCAATGATTCCAAATACCTTGTCTAGCCTGTACCTGTGGGGCAGAAAACGGAGGCCATGACTGCGATATGGCTTTCTGCGATACTGGTATGTGTCCTGCTTTCTTCCGCTACGGGCACGCACGAGCCACTCACGAGCCCGGCCTGTTGGTGAAATCGGCTCAGGAGAACTCACAGCACCTGCACTTCAGGCGGTAGCTAGCCCCCTTACTCCAGGTGTGCACACCCACACATACTGTAACAAATCCGTGAAACACGAGAGGCTCAGCAGAGTTGTGATCCAGTTGCAAGTGCGACAGCTGAGGAAAGCACCGGGCGGAGCTCCGGCTGGCTTGGGGCCTGGCGCAGGCGGCGCAGGGGCTGCACCCGGAGCCGCACCTTGCGGGGAACTCTCTCCAACAGCGCGCGAGCCCTGGAGCTGTCACACGGCACCTAGCGGCTCCGACATCGAGACTCTGCTCTCTGTCTCGGGAAGTGCTTTGGCATGGACGAGCTCGGGGCCTGTGGTTTGCGCGAACCGCTGGCCGCGAAGCTGCTTCTTTCGCTCCTGCACAGCGGGCCGGGCCCTCCCATGTCCTCACTTACCACCATCTCAAGATGCTTCCGCAAGTCTCTCGCTGCACGACCCAGGTTCGCTCCAGCGACCCTCGTAGAAATCTTGCAGTGTACAACTGTTCGGAGGTTAGGAGATGGGGGCAATATTCCCACCCGCCCAGCTGACCAAGTGGCACCGCAGGGCAATTGTCCGAACTGAAAACGAAGGAGTGCGAACTCCCAGGACACCCCGACAAGCCTAGAAGCAAGTTCACAATCGATACAACACGTCCGAGAGTGTAGCTGCCTCGGAATCCCCGATGCGAACCGAATCGAGCAAGAGGGAACAAGGGCACAAACTAACCCGCACACAGCCCACTACGACCCAAGCCGACCTCTACACGACCTCTAGTCGACCTGAGTGTACCCTAGGATGCAAGGACCTTGGAAAGCCCTCAGCGCATCTAGCCATGTCTCAAAGAACCATGCACATGACGTTCTCATGGTCGCCACTCCTCCTCATTAAGAGCCGCGTCTGCGGAACTAGAAGCAGCCTGGCAGGAGCGAACATGCGCTGGCTTCTGCAGATACAAACATACCGGCACAGTAGGTAAAACATCTCAAATCACGACAATGCACCTATGAAGCAATTAATGTAACAGAATAACACAGAGCGGACCAGTGCGGAATAGTCCGGTGATCTCTAGGGGAGTGCAGTAGCTGTCGATACCAAGACTTTAGCCACCAGTTCTACAGTTTTGAAGAGATGCCATAATAATATTCATCATCGTTCAGCAACATCACTCCTTCGGATCATGATCTTTACCGTGTGCATCTTCATCAGCAGCATCATCACCACCGGTATCATCGTCACCACCATCATCACCGACATCATCGCCATCATCATCATTTGCTTCCTGCTCTTCGTTACAGGGGCGACACGAAGAACTAGCACTTCATCACCAGTGCAAGGAGTGACCATTGACGAGCATGCCGCGGCATTTGCGCTGGCCGTCTCTCGCCCGTGCGCGCCTCCACCTCCACAACACCTGAGAAAGAACCAACACAAGCGACAAGAGTCGCGGGACTGGCGAAGTGCTCCAGTCTTGTACTCTGGAGGCCGTGCTGACCCGGAAGCAGATGCTAGCCGATAATCATCGATTTCAAGAGATTCTGCAGCCCGGCGACGTGTCTTGGCGTCAGTAGCAGTGCCTGAATGGATGCCATGCACTCTCGCTGTGTTTGCTGTCCTCCTTGTTGTATTATTTGGGCGGCTGTTGTCAGGTTTGGCACTGTGCTTGAAAAGAAACGCCGCCTATGTTCGCTTCTTTCCACCAAGGCACCTAGGGCTGCTGCTCCACGCGCTCCTGCGCCAGCTGATGCGAAGCGGGCCTTCTCTGCCTGGGCCAGGACTCCCCTTTCAACTCCGCGATCCATGGGACGCGTCCAAAGCACCACACATCAAAACACTCATCCGCTTACGAATTTAGCCGCCTTTGAGCTGTTTCTAATTGGAGAATTCAAGAAGCATATGGGCCCGCAGCAGATTGAATGCTTGCGACAACATAATCAACATACAGGGTTTTGCTGAAACATCTTCGGCATAGTATGCCGAAATGAGAACGAAATCAAAACCCAAAGTCAGCAAGACAGCCACTCGGTGGGCAGTCAGTCTTCCGTGATCGCGGCGAACAGCTGAAGATCCGCGACACAATTCAAGGTCAGCGGCGTGAATGGTGCTCATCACCACAGTTTCACAAGAACTACACGGATTGTGTCCTCCTACTGCTCGACGCCGCCGGTCTTCTTGCTTATGTGCTCTTAGTTACTGGCATCAGCAGGGGTCATGACTCATGATTGCAATATCGCGGGACTACTGAACGTGCCTGCTCACCCGCGCGAGGCTCGCCAGATGAGAGGTCCACCTCAACACCCTACACTCAAAATCCACACCTGCTGACCCTTCAATCAGGCTCCAGGAAGTGATTCATTAACAAACTTCTCCGACTAAAAACACTGTGCCGACCATGTAGCTGGGATATGGAACGAACGACAAGGTCGCCCTAAGAACGACCCAGGATGACGCCCGCTTGGCCCAAGAACACTTGAATGCTGAATGTCTGTCACCGACAAGCAATCCCGCCCAAGTCACCGTTACCGCAGTCGCGCCGTGTCTTGTGGCAGGGTCATGGGCACCCCTCACCTGCGTTCCATCCACATGACCATGAAACAAAACAACTTGGCATATGCATGCTACTAGTACGACTCCCCATGCGCATGTAGACATCGAACACGTGTTTGTTTAGCATTACCTGGTGCTAGCCGTGAAGCCGGGTTGAAGTCGTGTTCGGGTTCTACTTTGGTGTCGTGGCAAACAACGAGTTGAATGAGGGGCTGTGACGTGCTTGCTTGTTTTCCTCCATTGCCGGTATCACGACAACTTAGCACCGGGCAGGGCACTGCTTGCCGGAGTGCAGTTCCGATTTGGAGTTTCGAGCTCTAGCGAGAACCGAAATTATAGGTCAATCCCTTCGCGTGATGCTGCGGGATTGGAAAAAAGCCTGTGACAAATCCAACGCCAAGCGGAACCACGAGTGCTCTCGGTCAATGTTGCGGCAGGTACGGCGATGCCTGCGGTGGGTACGTCACCCGTCCGCGGCAGGCACGATGCGAAATCGTGATAGCAACCACAACACCCTCACTGCAGGTAGCACATGTACCAGGCCGGCAGGCCCGGATCCGCCACACTTGCAGACAGTGCGAATCCGAAAAAAACCGCGAATCCGTGTCCAGCTCGTCTGCCTGAGCCTGAAATGCAATCTCTCGCCTGGTTCTTCTGCTCCTGCTTCTTGCGCCTCGTGTCGTGCGATTTGACATGCTCGACATGTCACATCGAAGCCTGCTGCTCAGGGCGTCAAGTGAAAACTCAAGTGCCAACCCTTGCCGAGCATCAGAAGCCGGTCCCGGAGCACTTTGGCTTTGTCTTCGGGTTCCTTGCGCAGTGCCACGCAGTGCCACGCAGTGCCACGCGGATGCACCGGAGAACTCCAGAGAAGGACGTGCCGCGGCCTGGCCTGTTCCCTCGCTTGGGAGTCCTGAGCCGGATCCTCGCCTGCGGCTCTCGAAAGAATTACACGTCTTGTTTTTTTGCCAAAGATAACGGTGGCAAAGGCAAAGGGCCTCGCTGCTTGTGGAGGTACTGGGCTTTCAGGGACTCCTCAGCGGCTACAAGCAGATTGGCAAAGAGTCAGAGGCATCAGGGAACCGCTCAAAAGACTTAGTCAAGGCTCGGTCTTTGTGCTGCCATCGGGCTTCCCCTCCTGCAACATGGTCGCTGTCAGTCGCTGGAGCAACAACGTCTCTTGCGGCCGGGAAGCAGTGCGGCAACACGAAACATAAAAGAAAGTGCCTAAAAGACATCTGCAGGCTGCCGGGCTTCATGCCGAGGCACTTGCGGGCGGAAGCTTGACTTGCCTTTGCCTTTGCCTTCCCGGGCACCAGTACAAGTCGCTGATTGAAGGACGAACTACCCTTAAAAGCTCTCTACTTCTCAACAGCTCGACGGTGTTGCCGCCTGGGCTGCCCCTTCCGACGGCCCCGCGGCCGCCACCATATTTGCCGCCCTTTCCGACCGGCTTCCCGCCCATGGCACTGGGAATTGATGGAAAAGCTTGGTGACTTCGGGGTTCTGTTGTTCCTGCTTGTATGCGTTTCGGCATATTCCATGGTAGCCCTGGACTGTGGAATCTTGCATCTGTTAGAACATAAACCTGCATCACAACAACTCTGCATGTGCTGTCATGAAATTAGGTGACGCATGTTTGCTACTCAAGTGTGTCACTTGCCTCGGGTCGGGTCGAAGCCAAGAAACTTCATTTCAAAACTCGATATACTGCGCAATGCCCGTCGTTGTCTCCAAGCATCTCCAGGCGATAGGCGACCGGGCGCTGATCAGCCCACAGTCTGCGCCGTCCGAGGCAGAGCTCTGGCGTGCCGGCATTAAGTCCCAGAGCTCGGAAGATGACCATCGAGTGCTTAGTGCTCGTCAGGTGGATTTGGCGATATATACAGTGAGTTGCTCGAATCGGAATCAGCGTCGAAATCCGAATCAATGTCGGAATCCGAATCCAAATAATAAAAAGGATTTACAAGCTTGACTTTCTCGTAAGCTTGGAAATTTAACGGTTCCGCCGCGTCCTCGTCACTCCAAAGAATGATTTTGAGGTCGTCACCTAGCACATCTTTGACTTGCAACGATGTCGACCGTAAGATTGGCTCGACAATAATCGACATGTGCTTCAGGGGCAGAACCCGCCAGCCTGCGATCTTGCTCTGATTGAAGAAATGCGGCACTTCGCACTTCGAGATGTGACCAGCGATATTTTTATAGGCCCTGACGTCGAAGTCGGATGGCAAGGGCTGGCGCAGAATGCACACAAAATATGAAGTGCTTCTGACTTGCGCTCCTAGGCACCCATAGAGTGATCGGAGGACGAGCTGGGATCTGCAACCTCCCAGTCCTGGTAGGCGTTGGACGGACCTCGGTTCCGAGTCGTACACAGATTCGTCTGCACGTGGGAAGATGGCACGGGCTTCGGTTGCTGTTTCTCAGGGCAGGCAAGCTCCCACCTGAAGACAAACAAGCTCTACACCTCGTCGTGTCAGTCAGAACTGCAGGAGTTTTATCATGCTTTATCCCCCTTGCCAGGTCATGGTGTCTTGGATTACACGAATCAGGATGGCGAGGGTGGGAAGTCGACATCGATCGAGCCGACACGCTGCCCGACCTATAGCGCTTGTTCCTACACACACATGCATGAGTCCCCCAAACAAGCCCTAAACGTTCGGGCCGGGCCGGGCCGCCCTCAGGGCAGCCCCGGCGCGCCTTAGCTTGCGCCTGTGCAACGAGTGTGCCTCACAGGGCATGGGAGGCGGGTTTCTCCGTGGTCCTCGCATCGGTCGATGCATCGGTCGGAGCGACCGGCCGGCGCAGGTGTTAGCAGGCACCGTCTGGACGAGAGACGAAGCTTCAGTAGCGACGCGGCCCCCACGTCGTCGGCGGCGGCAAGGTGGAGGGGCCACAGCAGGCTTGGCGTGCCCAGGCTCACCGTCCTGTTACGGCCCAAATGTGCGGCGGTGATCCAGTGTCCGCCTCGAGCCGCCCGAAGGCGGTGTGATCAGAAGGAAGTGGGAAGGGGCGATCGAGCCGAGACGCTGCCCGGATCTGCCCGGCCACTCGCTAGAGCTTGTTCCTCACACAATTCCATTAAGTGCAGAAGTGCCGCCGTCTTGGCACTGGGCTGTCCCGGTACTATCTATGCGCCCAGAGCCAAGTCCAAAGAAGCCGCGCCCTGACCCGACAAACTCTAAGCAGACATGGAGCAACTCTGCATCTTTGTAGACCGCCCCGGATTTGTGCACCTCAGAGAAGCACAGCCACCCATCCGTGCACGTGCTTTGCAACGAGCAAAGCGAGCCAAGGAGAAAATCGTGAACCAACGGTCAGACAAAGGAGCCTTGTCGACTACGACTTCGCGAGCAAAGAGTTTCAGGGCTTCTGTCTGGATCTCCTCCTGGAAGGAGCTTCGAAATGGAGAAAAACTGTCACAACTGAGCACAACTGCAGCACGGGTAAGCCGCACAGCACGCACATCTTGCTGCTCCGGGTGCCTTTCGGTGTGAGATGGCAAAGAAGGCAGTTGCACTGTCCTCTGGGGCCCCCGGAGAAATGGGATTGCAAGTCACGTAGGCGGATGCCTGCCGTGCCGTGCTCCAGACGCTCAGCTTTCGCTGCTTTTGCTCTGAGCTTTGCTCTTCTTGCTACCACGCATACCAGGTATACGATGCAATGGAGGATGCATTGCATGGCCTCCAGCTTGCCGCACTGGTCGTAGCACATGCAGTCGCCTTTGTCTTGTCGGCTTCTGTTCGGGTGACCGAGCCATTGACATGTGTAGGTTCTTCGATCTCCTATCGAGGCACTATATTCACTATATTGTCACTACATGTCGCCAGCTCGCACGAACCACATCCACAGCCAGGATCGGCGAAGATCAGCAAAGTTGCAGGTATGGTCTTCCAGTAGTGACGAAAACTTGTCCAGGTTCGGCCTGTAGCGTTAGGGGGTGAAGCTTAAACAAGGTCGCTTTATTTGCACATCTTGCAATGAATGCGGACAAAGACCACGTGCGCAAGAATTGATTTTGCGCCTGTGAACGCTGTCGAGGTCGCTCGGCTTGATGTGTAACACCATCCACTTTCTCCACATCCTCAACACCCGTGCAGCGAGCGCGTGCCGTTAGAACGCCATAGTGTCGGCAGCTTAGCAGAAAAAAGTCAGAGGCCCCGGGCCCGCTAATCTGCTGCCGCAAGGCGCTTGCCCCAGAGCCTCCTTGTCCGCTAACGCGAAGATGAGAGAGACCTCGCTGAGACTCAACATCAGGTCTCTGCGAGCTTCTTGAAGCCTTCCAATCTTAAGACCAAAACATCTCAACTGGAAACTGTCAATCCGGAATCGAGTCGGGTGGAGCAACGAATGAGGCTCAGAGAATTACAGGCAGCGGGCCGGGTGGAGGTGCACGCACCCGTTGCGAGGTGCCGTCATGTTAAGACTCTTGTGGCACGGAATGCTCTACGAGTCATTACACAAGCTAGGAATCGCAAATCAAAGGCAGCAGCGGGACCTCATCCGTGACGCCTAAGCGTTTCAAGTGTTCCTCTTTCCTCGGATGTGAGAAAGCGGCATTTTGAACCCAGAATCCTGCGGCATAGTTGACCAAAGCTTCAGATAGCCTCTTTGAGCCAAGGTTCAAGCCTCCCAGTGCACCTGGTGAGCACAGCTTGGTGTCCCAGATGCTTCGTAGGTTTCGGGTGACCTGGGCCAGCGTCCGCCTCGGTGGAAAAGCTCTCTCAAGGACATGACAGCACACACGGCGCCAGCCTGACATTTTCTACTACGGTCGTCAAGTCGTCGGCAAACTACAGTACCCTGCAAATTATTCACGCACCGAGCAGCACAAACTCCTGATGCATGTGCCAACGGCTAACGACAACCGAAACCTTCCATCTGTGAGGCATTCTCACCCTGCAACAACTAGAAAACATTCCAAGAACCGGAGCATATGGCAGAACTTTGCAAGCCGCCAAGCAGCTCCTGTTCCGCCTTGGATTTAGACATAGCACGTTTAGGGATTGTCCAGCTACTCTTCCGCAGATTTGGCGCTGTCCGCGGCAAGATGCCAACTCTGATTGCAGGGCACGAAAGCAGAAAATGGCCCCATCGGCCATCGTTGTGCCACGGTGCTGCGGAAGATGCTTGCGGCAGTGCCTGTCTGACACCTTGCCTCGCGAAGGCAGTGAAGGCCACCATCCTTGAGTTCTGCTGCATTGTCCGGTGTACAAAAACGCACATTAACATACCTTGTTGCGAGAAGCTGAACGAAAGTCTGCAACCCGAATCCAAATCCTAATGTCCGGTTATACTGCTGGCGGCCGAGCCGCTCCCAGTAGTGTCTCGTGGCAAACCAGTCCACCTGCCCAGATGTTATGAGACACGCTGGAAGGCCAAGGTCGGGATGAGTCAAAGGCCTCCTTGTCCCCGGGGTCTCCGTCTCCACTGAGGCTCTCGGCAATCTGAGGCCAAGACTTGAGAAGGCCCACCTGCAAAGAGGATCGAAACGGAAGTTCCCGGTACTCTCGTTGGGGACAAGTTTAGCGTTCAATGGCGCTCTGGACACTACGTTTTTTTGCAAATTTAGCTCAAAGGCCCTTCGAGAGGCAATTGCAACGGTTGACGTATATACACGTTCCTTCACAAAAACCGTCACTAACTCTTGACATGAAAAGGCACGCACTCCAGCCGTACATGCAAGAATCGAGGAGATATTCTCACGAGTTTAGAGACCCGATGGCACGCTGCAATGAAAAGCTCAAAAGTGAACGAAAGTTCTGAGGCAAGCAGTTCAAGCAACGTTTCCATGCCTTGCTGGTGAAATTTGCAGTTTTCCACTGCAGCTTCCTCGGCATGGGGCACCACCCAACCATGATCGAGCAGAACCAGATCGAGAGCAATCCGAATCATCGACGGACTCCAGCTTTGCAGCCAGAGTAACCACTGAAAGGCATCATCTTTAGGCTCCAGTCCAGAGTATTGAGAGTTCACCATGTCTGTCCAGAACCTCTCCAACCTGCACCAGCTAGCAAAGTGTTGAACCAAAAAAGGCATTCGCGTTGCATATGAGAGGATGACAACGTTACGGTTTTTTGTGGATCTGAGACCAGACATAAGACTTTCCGAGCAGCAAGTAGTCCCGAAGATGATTTCGGGGGCTAATTGCTTAGTGTCTGCACTCAAGGGGAGTTCGATGGCACGGCAGTTCGGAGATGAGCAACGAAGTACAGCCCAGGACTCTCAGAGAATGACCAGTAGTCAGATTCTGTGGTTCTGGACACAACCCGACATCCAGGCAAACCAAGTCAGAAAACCACCGGAGATCATTCCGAAACCCGTCTCGAGATTCTGAAAAGCATGCCGTATCTTGGATCTAACGTGGAGCCAGCACCCAACAACAGAACCAGCGTGTGCTTGCAGCACCAAGACCAAGACTTCCACGTTTCCGGAAGTCGATAGGTTCCCAAACCGAAATCCTTGAGACAGCCCGCCGTTGTCTTTCAGGCAGCTTCTCGAAGCTGGTGTCGTATTCTTCTAAGCTCATCTGATCCTGCCGAGAAGTCGCAGAGCAACATGGACGATGGCGCCGATCGAAATTCAACTGCTAAAGCCCACAGGTGCGATAAATATGCTGCCACGGGCAACCCGAACTAGGTTGGCTCGCGTTTAAGATCAAAGTCGCAGCTGCTCGCGCAGAATCCAGTTTGCTCCCAGGTGCATCAAAGGCACGACAGAAGTCGGAGTGATGTTTTGAAGTGGAGCAAGCTCCACCTTGCGCAGGACTGTCTTGCACATCATGCATCATTATGCTAGACATCAAACCCACCGCTATCCATCGCCCACAAATGCATGTCAACAGGGTCGCGCCTCCACCCGCGACCTTGCATTCTCAAACTCCGGCAAAGCAAAATATCCTGCGGGGCAGGAAAGCTGCACATGCCCAACGGACCTGCAGCACCGAGCAATCCCAACAGAGAGGCACTCCATCAAGCCTAAACGTCACATGCAGCCAAACATGAATCTCCCAACCCTTTGCGCAAGCCAAAGTGGCAAGGAGCAACGAAACCGGGGTGCCTTTGCCCGCATCATCCGATTCTTCAAGGCAGCGCAGGCTGGAAGCGCAGAAAGCCACCACGAAAGGCAGCACACTGGGGCAAGGCGCGGTTTCCTCAACACCGTCGGCAGATGGCAAGGGCTTGGCGGAAATTGAAGCACCAGAGCGAAGATACTTGGCGTCAGGTGATGTGACACTACGCTGATCAACATCGGCGCTTGTTTCCAAGAACCACGAAGCCCTCAAGGCTTTAGAAACCCGGAAGTAAGAGATCCCTGGTCAGAGCCACGCAACCAGATCTCGGCTATTCGGTTCATTTCCCGATCGTCAAAAGCGGACATTTGAAGTATGTTCTCTGTTCCTGTTTTTAAGCGGTGATCCAAAGCACACTCGCAAGCGTTCGCCCTGGAATACATGAACCAACCTAAATTCAAAGCACTCCGATGACACGCGCCAAGGGAGATAGGATTTAGGACTGACCTGCAAATCTCAAGCAAGATGCAGATGGTCGCAGCTGCATCGTGGCACCGTGCGCCTTCAGCGCAGCCACCCAGATCTTGTCGGAGAACACTGGCAGCTTCCCCTTCTCTACGTCCTCCATGTAGAAGATATAATATCGCTTCAATGATCAATTCTAGCAGTAGCAGTAGCAGTAGCAGTCGCCGGCGTTGTCGTCGTCACAGCTGTCGTCGGGATATGTCGGGATCGTCGATGTTGGCATGGACCGCTACTACCAGCACTACCACGACTGCTCTCTCTCTCTCTCTCTGCCAATTTCAATCTCGCGTCGCCTATCCCCGCGGTCGATGTTCCCTCCCCTTTGCCTGTCTATGGGTTATTAAAGCTATTATTATCGCCGAGACAGAGAGACAGAGAGCGAGAGAGAGGAGAGGGAGAGAGGGAGAGAGAGGCCCAACCCTTCCCACCGAATGTCCTCCGTGTCCACGCGGTTTCCTTCACATGGAAGAATTTAGCTGCCCTACGAAACGACATCCCAACATCAGAGACATGGTCAGTTCAAAGCACCCGAAAGGTCTCCTGCAAAGGAGCACTGGAGCTCTGCAAATCGCTGCATCTCGCCACTTGTGCGATTTTCGAGGATTCGCTTCACGTCCTCACGGCAGTCAGCTGACTGCAGGCAGAACGAGACAGAAAAAGGCGTGTCAGGCACGATGCCTGCAGGTTCCCGCGCGCATGCAAACACTTCTTGCGAAAGACACTGCTGCTGAAAAATGTCGCCTGTTTCTATGGCACCTTCCTGTCGGAAGTCGCCGGCACATGACCCACAGAGCAAGCAGGCCGCACACCGCATCTGCCAAGCTTAGTTCAGCCATCTCTCTCCACACTCAGGACCCCATCGATGCCCTGCAGCATCGCTTGCGCATCTGCCATGCTTATCGACGAAGTGTCCACCTGCACACCGAGAATCTCGCCATTGAACATGGAGTTAACGTTTGAAACCTCTGCTTTGGACTGGATCGTCTCTGTCGCCAGGTCTTTTCGGACCGGATCGATGGTCAAGAGGAATTTGGTCCCACCAACCGGTGCTGCATGAGGGGCAGCAGCGCAAGAAAATGTGACGGGCAGGTCGCATGCTTTCAAGCGGACTATGTGGTGTGGCTGCGTCAACGCTTCTGTGCAGATTGCGCCGGGTGGAGGCGACGTGGTTTCGTAGGCGACGCTCAAGCTGGTGCTCGATGCTTCGATCCGCTTGATTTCCACAGCGTGGCCACCACTGCCACATTCACCAGAAAAGACGCAGATGACCATGTCTGTGTCAAACGGGACGTCTGGCAATGCTGGTGGCGGGGATTCATTGGAAGTGTGCTTCTCCCAGAAACTTGACCATTCCTCCTTGGAGGTCATCGCCGCCTCCAATGCATCGGAGATACCTGAGTAGCTTCCGTGAGCCAGGGTGTCAAAGTTCTCGGCCATTGCGGCTTCTGCTGTAGTCCAAGAACCACAGTACTGCGTTAAGGAGCAGGAGCAGCTGTGAAGCGGCGGTCAAACGCGAGTGATCCTACATTCATGCAGCAGATCTCATGCCTGTGGCTATTGGTCCTCGGACTCCAGATCAGCCAGCCCCTTCTCGAGGCAGCTGTTCTTTGAAGAGCACCGCAAGGCATTCATCAGTTCATCCTAAACAGGGTCGAGGCATTCGTACGCTCTCTCGCTGATTGTCGGGACTCGCTTCGGCTGTCTGCTACTTTGGAACGCACCGTTTCCATCCGGCTGGTGTCGCCACTCAAGTTTTGCTCTGTGGCCAAGGTGCATACTTGTAGCCCAAGTCGATGGATCCCGGAGTGCCCTCTGCATTGTGCATCAACGGCCACCACTGCTGGGACAAAGCTCCTGCCAAACGGAGTCAGGAGTTTCGCGACATGTCACAAGCGATGTTGGACTGTCCGCTAGCGCAGTTTTCTTGCTACTGCAAGGACTTCACGAAACGAAAAGAGTTTCAACAAGGTCGAAACATCCTTGCATCAGCCGCTGGAACGTTCTGGCTGTACAGGCCACAAGCGGCTGCTCGTGCGTGCAAGCATCCAATAACCTGAGTTCATCACACATTGCGGACATCTTGTTGTGGTGTTTCTACGGCTGCTTCTGCTGCGACGGCCCCTGCGATACTTCATGCCTCCACACATTACAGCCACAAAGAAGTCACTGCTTCTGCCACCGCTGCCACCACCACCGAAGCAGCACTGCACCACCAACAACAACACAGCTACTACTCATACGACCCCGAAAAACGACGGCGGCGACGACCACTACTACTACTGATAATCGTCGTATCTACTACTACTGCTACTGCTGCTTGTTGCTTATACCACTACGACTACTACGACTACTACGACTACTACGACTACTACGACTACTACGACTACTACTACGACGACGACGACTACTACTTGCTTGCTTGCTTGCTTGCTTGCTTGCTTGCTAGGGGTCTCTCTCTCTCTCTCTCTCGAAGCGCAAACATCCGAAGACGTCTTTGCGTGGCCCCTTTGGGCGACCTAGGAAGGCCGGCCATCTCTTGGACAGCGTAGACCGGGGCGAACGAGCAAGCATCAGCTTGTGTCATGTACATTAACATTGGTAGCGGAAAGTGCACCCGGACCGATAATCAACGAGGCGAAGATATACTTCGGACGTTTATGCTACCAGCAACTTCAATTGCCCGACAGGCACTTTAGCAACCGTATATACAGCCTTAGCCTCACATCTCAGCATCAAGTGAAAATCATCATTCGAAATCCATGCACGAAAAGAGAGTAACTCGCATCTCAGTTTGAGAGCATCCACTGTCGCGATAACTGTGCAAATTTCATTGCAGACTCAAGAGGATCTCGGGTGGCACAGTCCAATGAGCATAGCTGGCATCCCAAGCTTTTAAGAAAACTTGCCTTTCCTGCACTGATGCGCCAGTCATCCCGAATATGATATGCGCCTAGGGTAAGGCGCTCCCCTGTCCATGTGGCATCCTTGCATTGAAACGCATGGCCGGCATGGTTATGGGAGTCAAAGATCAAGTTGGGCCGTCAGGGCTGAGCCGGCAGGTTCCTGCTTTATCCTGACACCACCATTCTCCCCCTTGCCACTGGCTTAACGGAATCAATACATTGTCAATGGCAATGTGGTTATGGGAGTCCTTGTGCAAGCCACTAGGAACGTTTAAATGGAGAAAAACTGTGCTGAACAACGCTTCGCTGCATAACGGCTTCACAATGGAGCAGAGCAGGCGCGTGACCCATGGGAGCTCCATTGTTGAGCTCAGGACTGAGGCCTTGCCTCCAAATATGCAAGCACCAAGAGTAATGGACTGCGGGGTGGTGTCAGCATGTAGGGCATCCTCAGAAATATGACGGGTGTGGGTCTTGGTGGGCAACATGTTGAACAGTCGTCGCAGCTGCTGAAAACGAACGTAACGTACTCGAAGACAACCTTGAGCCAAGGCTTGATGGGCCTCAGTTGGACGTGGCTGATTCCAAGTCCAGTCCATTGCACCACCCAGTACTATACCTGAGTGTGCCGAGCCTTCGTAAAGGCTCAAAGAGGACTGAGCCGAGGCAGTTTGCTCTTCGATACTCACATCCGAGGTCTGCGCCACCATTCGAGTCTCCCATTCTTCCACCCGATATCTCTTCCTCGTATTCGTACACGCTGCAGAAGCAGGGGGCCCTGTTCTTTCCCCATCTTGTGAGGAGCAGGCCGGCTGAGGCCCACATACAACCATATGTCTTTCAGGTCTTTCAGAACAGTCACCCTCCGAATCTGACACATCTATAATACAGTCGCCATCATTCTCGGAGGAATTGAGCGTGCACTCCCACATATTGAGGAGGCACGATAACGCTTAGCATATGTACCAGGGGTCGCACAGAATCATAGCGGCTCGACCCATGTTGCAATGCAAACAATCTGCAGCGTGAAAGAGGAATACATGACAGCGCAGAAAAAATTATTGCAATGGCAGCACGCTGAAGCGGGGCACGGCGGAGGCTGAAGAATGTCAAAGAATCTGCTCGGTGGTCCATTGGTGCCATCGTCGCAGCCTGAGAGCACACAAGCAAGATGAGTCCAGCTAGACAGGAGACGAGCATCGAAGGCGCAATGCATGTTACATTCTCTGGCAGTCTTTTGCGTCTCAGCAGACTCCTCGTGTACCTGAGCGGCATCTTCGAACCACCCAGCGTCTGAGGCTCTTATAGTGACGACATAATGTCGAAATGTACCCCGATAGGGTTTTGAGTTTCATTGCCCAGCCGGCACCATAGCAGGCGCAAAACGGGCTAGCTGTCGCTGCTCCAGCTACCATCATCGGCTGCCTCGGCTCCCTCCATTGTTGCCTCCATAGCCACGGTTGGAGGGGGCCTGCATGGTTTTCTGGACGCCATTGGCGATTTGGCAGCGTCCAGGCCGCTCGACGCCAGGCAAACGCCATGATTTGCGTGATGGCATTGTTGGTGAGCTCCTGCAGGTAGCCCCTGAGCTGCACAGCTCCCGGATCAAATAGAGCCAGCTGCAGACTGAAGGTAACATTCGAGCCCCTCATTTCCTCCTCAATACCCCGACTGCGGTGGAACCTGGTCACAGGACCAGTCCTGCTCACCAGGAGGCGGATAGCCTCAACCGTAGCCACTCCCTTGGCATAGGGGAGTGGATCCTTGGTCTCATCTGGCTTCAGACGCCCAAGGTGCCCTGCTTCATCCACCCAAGCTTGATGAGGTTCTCGAGGGTATGAGATTGCTGCGGCAGTTTTTCCAGCCGCCCCGAAAACTCCATGAAAATGCAGTTAAGGAGAGCAACCCGCATAGGCTTGTCTACCTTTTCAGGTTCAGCCTCTTTCAGCTCACGCCATGCTTGCTGGGCTCGAAAGATGGCCGGTACCACGGAGGCATTAACTCCCATTCGCATGAAGATAGCGTACGAGGTTCCGGACGAAAGCCTCCCAGGTAATCCTCATGCCTCAAGGTGAGGCGCTGCAGCTGGAACATGCTCTCCTTTAGCTGCCGGATTTTTTCCTCTTTGAGCCCCCTGATCTGGGACTGCTTCTCCTGGTCCCATTGCTGCCAGCCTCTCTTGGCAGATCTTCATTGGGCCCAGGGATCATCCTCCTTTTCCTTGGCCGGCCCTTTTCCACGCTGCTGACCTTTATTGCCAGACCCAAGACGGGGTGTGGGCTGGCCACGGTCACTGCCATCGGCGCTCCTTCACTCACCGCCGTAGAGGCCTGATCAATGCCCGCAGGAAAGTAGTTCTGGAACATCTGGAGCTCCAGGTCCTCGGTCTCTTTCATGGCAGCATCAGGGGCTTCTTCAACACCCGCCATCTGTAGAAGCACTGAAGGAGCAGGGCCAGCTGAGGAGGATATTAGCAGCGCTGGAGCCAGAGGACATATACATTGGCTTCATGCTCTGCGTCAATTGCAACCGGAACGGCAAAGCACGAGTCATCTGTATACATCCATTTGGCCCCGACTTTGAGGAGAGAGCGGTAGTGTCCACTTTGGGTAGTCCTGCCAAGATGAACAACAATGGCTGTAACCTGAAATGTAACCCCCGTCACTTGTAGATGCACCGAAAATCTGGGAATGAAGACAGGCCTGTCAAAGCGAAGAGCCGTAGAGAGCTTGCGAACCTGACCCAAGCGAACATATCGATTGAGTTGTAGACATAAGCAATCTGTCTCATGAGCCAGTGCATGTGTGTCACCAGACTGATGCCAATGATATATTACATCTTGTAAGTCTCTCGCTGCTCTGGGGATAGACATGGGAATCGGCAAGTCTCCCTGTGCACGCAGCTGAAGGCCTGCCAAGCTCAGCCTTCTGGCATCCCATTGTACCGAATGTATGTGCTGGGCCTGAAGGAGTTGCTGTGTGTATTCAGCTGTATCCCTCTGCACCTCGTCATATACCCAGTTGGGAAGAAGCTGACGAAAACGATGACTTTGGGTAAGTCGGAGGGCAACGCCTTTGTCGGCCGCCTTCTTGGCCAAGTTGATAGCGTCTTTCAGGGAGTGGTTCACAATGCCTGCACAATGTAGTGCATATGTCATGCCCAGAATTCCTGCATTGATGTAGCATAAGTTGTGCGGATTGGCTAACCTGACACGACATTGCCAAGGACCATCAGGTAGAGCAGGTGCTGCGTTGGAGGGCTGCGTGCTAGACACCTGTTTAGGGGCAAAGAAGCTCTTGATTGTACCATCCTGTTTTGACTTGGGCACGGACACGACTGGGTTGGCTGAGGGTGCGATAGTATGGCCCATTCCACCTGTGCTGCTGTACTGCGTGGGCTTTCCTTGTAGAGCTTGCTGAATTGGAGCGACATATGTAAGATACTGAGGGTTGGACTTGTCCTGCTTTGAAGCGGCTGGCTGCTGAAATGCGTAGTCCTCCTTTGAGGCTTGTTCATGATATAGCTGTCTTGCGAGAGTGTGCTTTGGAGTCCTTGGCCTGGCTACCACAGAACTGACATGGCGATTGAAAGATAGCCGACATACTGCCTGCAAGAGAATCTGCAGCTGCCGATGTTCGCTTCCATGCCGCGGGATGTCCTGTGCGCCAGTGCGTTTTGATGTGTCCCGGTCCAGCAACGCGTTGCCGGCATAGAACACATTGGCCAGTGCAGGACTTAATGAACTTTGCGTGGGCCGCAAGTTGATAATTCGGAACAGTAAGTACTTCGTGCTGGCTCTGGATGAGAGGTGTCTCCTGTTTCCACTCAGCTGCAGGTGGAGGAGGAGGGTCTTTCGCTTCCTCTGCAATGACCTCGACCAGGATCTGCTCTAGAGTTTGCCCACTAGCAAAAGCAGTCTTCAGAGCAGGGCACATGCCTTGAGTGAGATGCTTTCGCATAGACTGCCAGTCTGTGAGCCTCTGCCGACAGAATCGACATGTTGGGGTTCCATAGAGGCAGTGCTGAGCACGATCAAACACAATCTGAGCCTGCTTTTCTAGCTCGAGATGCTTCTTGTGGATGTGCTGCTCCAAGCCAGACTTGGTGCCAAAGTACACTCCACATGCAGGGCACGGGTGCGATACAGCATCCGGTATGTTCTTTTGGAGCGATGAACCAATTCGCGACTGACCCACTTCCACCACTCTGCGAAATTGCTGAAGTAGGTGCTCGGCCCGATTGCCTTCACGTAGCCGCAGTTGTGTGGAGCGGCCTGAGTCCAGTTGTATGGCGGTCTGTTGTGCTTTAAAACGCCGACCAAGATCATCCCAGAGATCAATGCCCTCCTGTTGGAGAACGGATTGATTGGAGACGCCCCTCTCGTAGATGCGAAGAACTTTCCGCAAGTGCCTCGAGATGGTGCTGGAGAGAAGCTTGATAGTCTCCACAGTGCACCCAACAGTCGCCAGGCCATACAGAAGCGACGGCATAACACAGGCTTTGTATAGTCGAAGTCTATGTTTTCTGCTCAGCGGTCCATTAACGCGTAAGGGCGCCTTGAGCTGGTTGAAGACAGCGTGAGCTGTGCCGCCTGAACCTCAAATCGGCCATAACTGAGCTTAACCCCGAAATATTCAAGGCTGGTCTGGATCGCAATGTACATTGTACCAGCAGGACTGTTCACAATCAAACAGTTTTGACCACGCCAATACTTAGTGCAACGCTTCAGAAGCTTCATGTGTATCCTGCCTTTTAAAGCAAGAACAACCTTGGATTTGGCACCGTTCACCTTCATTCCAAGCTCAGTGATTGTGTTTATGAGCAGTCCTAGTTGTCGGGGCGCCTCCGAAAGGTCGTTGATGCTTCGGATTGTCCAGAAGCCATGCTTGTCATCGGCATACATAGACAAATGTTTGCTCGGCCAACCTGTGCCCAGTCGCTGTTCCAGCTGCTGACAACGTCGACAGGTCCATGCAGCATATATCATCGGAGCAATGCTGCAACCCTGCCGAAGCCCTTTACCCATGCTCATAACATGTTTGTATCCTTTGTGTACTATGTGCAACTCAGTCTGCATGTGAATCTGCAAAAGAAAGCCAGCAAGAGATGTCGGCATTCCAGTAGCAAGAAGTGACTCATACATTTCAGAATGTGTGATGGAGTCGAAAGCTTTGGATAAGTCCAGGCTTGCCATCATCCCTCCCACAACTGGTGCACACTGCTGGCCTGCAAGTCGTGCTGTGAGATCATCATTGCATGCGGCAAGCAGATTTCTCACTTCATCACAGCGCAGGCTGGCTCGAAGCAAAGGGTCAGCGGTTGATGCCTGAGCACGATAGGCGTACTGCGGAACGGACATACGGGTCAGCATGAAACTTGAGGATCTGAAGACAGGCTTTAGTGTCCACGCCATAAGGCCAATCGTGCGGAGGTTGGCAGGAGCGGTTGGGCTCTTATTGGGCTTGGGAAGCCAGGCAATCTGAACCTTAGACCACTCAATGGGCAGGGAGGGCCTAGAGGAACAAACCGTATTATGGGCAATGTTCTGAAGAAGAGGTGCCACCTGAGCACCACATTGCCTCCATGCTGCAATTGATGCCGCCTCTTGAGGAACAGCTTTGTGGTTGCCGAGTTTGCTCAGGGCCCACATCCAGTTGTCCGACGTAAACCATTCCATTGGAAGAGGCTCAAGATCAGGAGGCTCACAGATAGGTCCTGTAAAGAGACCTTTGGCATAGTCACGCAGCTGCTGGCATTCCTGCTCCGGATCAAGTAGATTACCTTCAGGATCCCGTAGATTCATCTTTCCAGCAAGGCTTTTGGGGGCAATCATTCGAACATACTGATAGTGAGTGCGTGTTTGATTGGTCATCGCAGCCGTTTCTGCTAGGTCCAGCACCTGCAGAATTTGCTCACGCTTTCTTTGCCTCGCCAGTCGCCTGATGGCACGGGAAGCGCGGATTTTAAGCAGTGCCAGCTGCCAAGCGCCAAACATTTTACCAACCCGGTTGCGATTATGCTGAAATCTGGCCCGGGCCAGTCCTCTCCAAATCTGCAACACCTCCTGTTGAGCAGTTGGCAGCGGAGGCTTGGGTGGCTTGACAGCTACCACATCATGATGGAGCTTTAAGGATCTTTGAAGTTCATCTAGCTTCGGAGCACCATGGCATGAGATCTCATCAAGACTGGGCGCAGGCAACATCCTGGGCACTTTGGGGGAGCTAGACTGCTGCCAGGGCCGCCAAGATATCCTTATGCTGGCAACCAGCACTTCATGACCTGAAGAGCGCCACCCAGCGATCGTCACCTTCACTGGCCTGCAGGATTTAGCTTCGCGATCTTCCAGCGGCTGGCGTACAGCAATGTAGTCAATCTGCGAAGAGCCACTGGGATGCTTATATGTGTAGTGTTTCTTCTGCCAAGTATTCAGGGCAGAAAGCCGATGTCTTTCAAGCATCTGAGTCAGATCATTGCGTTCCTGCTTGAGGTCAAGATGCTGAGAGCCCTGAAAAATTCCTTGGCAAGCAACTTTGCCATAAGGTTGCAGGGTTAAATTGACGTCACCCAGAAGCGCTATGGAGGTGCGATATGGAAGCGAAGAGATCAGGTTTTCCAGCCGGTTCCAGACGCGCTTTCGCTGCTTCATCACCGGTTGCTTTTGCTCTTCACAGTTGTGTGACAACGCCTGCTGATACAAGTTAATGACATCAATCTGCTGTTTGCGTATACGACCTCTCCAGTGAAGGAGCGCCCAGGCTCAACATCGGCCCAGCTACTGGAATTAGGCTCCAAAGCATTCCTACGAATCCCAATCATAACACCAGCTTGCTTAGGCCGAGGTGCAGCGCTGTGTATGACATACCAGTCCTCTGTACTCCATTCTGAAGTCATTGACCAATGCGTCTCTTGCAATGCAAAGATCAGGATGGATGGTTGCGTTTTAAGCCAGACCTGAATCTCAAGAAAGAGTTCTTGAGATAGCCCACTGCAATTCCAGCTGGCAATTTCCATCCTTGGCCATGTTGTCTTTGCTATCGGCTTTGTGTTCGGCAGAGGGAGCGTAGGGACTCCAGTTCCAATCCGGCGCCCTTTGTATACTGCTCTTCCATATTGTTCCGCCCGCTTCAAGGTTCGCTTATATGATCTTTTACACACTCTGTGCGCCGTTTTACGATCCTCGGGCACTCCGTCCTCATGGTTCGCCCGCATGCGAGCTCCAGCAGTGGCTGAGGAACCACCTGCAACCCTCGTGCCTAGCAGCATCAAGATGCAATGAAATGCGTAGAAGTAGCTGCTATCCGGACTTGGGACCGGAACGAGCGTGTCCCCGTGCAAAAGGAGATTCTCAGGCCAACAAAGTCAGGTATGATATGTTGACAGGCGTGCAGCCGCAGAATACCATGCACAGCAAGCTGTGTAATCCGCAGAAAACAGGTTGTCTTGCGGTTTGAGGTCGTTCTAGCGGGCCCTTACAGTTGAAGAAGGGCCCCAAGCCTTGG